CACTACCACCACCACCACCACCACCACCACCACAACCACCACCACCACCACCACCACCACCACGACTACTACTACTACTACTACTACTACTACTACTACTACTACTACTACTACTTCTACGACGACTACGACGACGACTCCTGCTGCTGCTGCTGCTGCTGCTACCACTACTACCACCACTACTACTACTACTACTACTACTACGACGACGACTAGTACTGCTGCTACTACTCCTATTACTACTGCTGCTACTACTACTGCTACCACTACTACCCTGCTGCTGCTCCTGATCCTGCTCCTGCTACTGCGACAACCACGACCACGACGCCGACGCAGACGATGGGAGGGTCAGAGTGCCGAACATGTGTCTTTGAGCATGTGTAGCACAAAACATCATGGGTGGAGAACCCACTTGTGCACAAAGCGAAAGTTGGCAATACTAGTGAATCTTGGTTGTGTCGAACAGTGTAGCAGCTATGCAAGATCATTGCCTGCTGCAGGAAATGGACAGGCCGAGTAGGGCACCTTCAGGCTAATGCAATCGTCCACGGTCTACCCTCGGAACATCTGGTGTAACTCAAAGCAAACTGCTACGTTCTACCGGAAGAAACCTCGTCTCGCACAGTGGGTCGAGTCGGTGCCGGCACCTGACTCATTGGCTTCTGCTTAACCCAGTCTGATTGGAGACATGATCTTGCGAATAGGCTTACGATTAGTGCTGGTCCACCCCTCTTGGTTTTGCGTTCCTGCTTTGCTCTCCTGGGATTAAGGGCGGACCACAGGTGGGTCGCCATGGAAGGCGCACAGAATGCGCACAGGTTATGGCTGCTGCTTCAGTGCACCAGAACCGCTGTTGCATTGGCAACTACTAGAAGATACTCGAAGGGCGCATACCACGTCAGAAGATGTCGGAACAAAGTCTAGTTTAGACTATAGCCTAGAAGACGTCTCTACAATACAGATTCGAGTCTAGTACTTACTGCTTTGTCACTACACTCACTACCCTGGATGCCCTAGATCTGCTCTGGGAACCGGATCACCCAACCCTTGTCAGATGCCGCTTGCAGACATGCCTGCTTGCCCGTTCGGGCTGGTGGTGGTTCGAAGCTTCACACGGAGCTTTGCTCTACATGCAAGCACACTGCCCTGTGCGCAGGAGCTGGCTTCACAAGCACTGTAGGGCTCTGTGAGAGCAATCGAAGCCTCCGAAGCCATTGCCAGCTCTGCCGATGAGCTTAATCCAAGAGGAATTCGTGGAAGGACCCCAGCAACCGCTTGACAGAAGTTCGCACTACAGATTTGCAGATGATCGGTTGAAGCTGAAGATGAGACCGGAAACGTTCGCTCCCACAGCCGCTTTGCGCAGAAATGCAATGTCGCTTGCGAATGCTCGCGATTAATTCTCTTCGCGGCTCAGTGAACTACTTAGAGTCCACCAAGCAAATGTGGATTTGTGCATCGGGTTCAGGAATCAGATGACATGCCAACCGTCGTTTAGCATTACTTGCCGATTGTTGCTAGGGCAACAAGCCGACCGAACATCTTGCGTTAGATCTGCTAGGGCTTTGCTTGGACCACCCTGAAGACATCCGGTAGACTCTGCAGTTCAATGATCTGAAGACTCTTGAAACCCCGATGAATGATGAAGCTTGTCAATCTTGCGTTTACTTCATCTTTGTCTGCTGTCAGTGTGCGCGTTGCCGGAACTCGGTGCACAGACCCTGTCACACTTTGCCAGGCCTTCCAGGAATTTGTCAGTTCAGAAGGTTGCCTGCCTCCGACGCCCGGCAGCCCTTGCTGCTCTTGGACGGTAGCTGCATGGCCCTCAAACTACATGCTGCAACCTGACTTTGTACATCTTAGCATCGCCTGATGGGCGCTCAACGTCATCACCATGAATTTCAGCTTCAGTGGGATGGTCATCACAAAGAACACAATCGCCATCACCATCACCAGCAAAATCCTCACTATCACGATCGTGACAATCACCGACATCATCATCAACACCAATAGCACCAGCAGCAGCAGCAGCAGCAACCCCAGAGGCTGTAGCATTTACGTCCATCATTCACTAAGAACAATCAGAAGAGTTGTAATTGCTGACCTTCTGAAACGTGCTCCCCCGTCGAGGCACTGTGTGGAGCAAGGTCTCCCTAGACACCTCAATACCTTTAAACTGGAGTGAAAAGCTCTTGCTTCGGATTGCGTCCTTCCATCTTCTTGTCGACCACGGCTGCAACACAAGCATCGCCGTAGACGTTGACACACGTCCTGTCGAATGCAGCTTGCCCCGAGCCAACTCCGCAACTCAGACTTTATTTCTATACGCATGCCTTGGAAATGCAGCCCGTGATCGATGCAAGGTCCACAAGCTCAGACGGCTGTTGACTTCTTGATGTGCTCTTCAACTTGGATGTGTCACGGTTCCCAGACCACATCACCATCAAAAATCATTGACCGCCGGCATGTAGCCTACCCTCCCCACTCCAGCAGGGCCACATGCCAACGGTACATGTCAGAAACCCACCTCGTGATAAGGGATCCAGCTTGAGGCCATGTCAGGTAGTTTCGTAAAAGGCGTGGTGCCACATCATTGATGAAACATGCTCGTAAATTTCCTAGACAAGCCTAAGCGTCGTTTAAATCTTTCTCAACTCTCCCATCAAATCTCTGAAACTGCGGAAGGCTATTTCATTCTATCTGCACATGGCACCAGCTCCCCTAAGCTCTTTAGATGAATCAAAAGTCGCGCTTCCGAAGCTTCACGGCAACAGAACACGTCCATGTTTGCGGAGAGTGGCTTTGCAGCCTCGACCCAGCGAGGCTTAATGTTTTCGGGTTCGGCCCCTGCCTCACTCGGTCCAGGAGCCAATCCACGGCTGTTATCAAGCCAAACGTCTCTGTGACGGGAATGTTCCTTAGAAGCCGGACTGCAACCATCCTCTTCAGGCTGCATGTTGTGCATCTCCCGGCATGGCAGAGAAAACCTCTGGCACCAATGATGAAATGCATCCAAGCTTCAGGGAAGTGAGCAAGGTCGTGAGAAGCACCTTCCCACATGGTCTCGCGTGCGGAAGCTTGGCTTTCTGCAGATCCTACTTCACCATATCATTTAACTATGTATCCGAAAACTCTGCAATAGCATTCTTCACTGGGTTCAAGAGTCGAAAGCTGCAGTGTCAAGACTTGAGATACAACTCGACTGCTATGGACATCGGAAAAGGCAGCAATTCAGCCTCCGTAGTAGCATCGGTCTGCGACATACACAGTTTGACCCTGGTGCCTTGCTTGTCTAGATCAGTGCAACAACGTCACAAAAAGGCTTCAACTCGGGGGCATCGAGCAGTTACGTGCATTTAGGCAGGCAATGCTCGTGTGTGTCTACACAGATTATGCCCACAGGTTGCAATTTCTGTTTTTCTGATCCCTCACTGAATATCTTGAGGAAGGAAGCGCAGCTGGCACAAACCTCTATCCGAATCAACGAGTGGCACGAACATAAAAACCTTAGCTCCGTCCTCAGAAGCCTCAGCCTTAAAATCAGTACTGAAAGTCGACTTTCATCGAGGCTCCAGGCTCCCGCTGGGTACAGGGGCTGAACCCATGGAGCAGAGGGTGGCCATAAGAACCATGGAAGCGTAGTCCTCAGAGGATGCTGCCTACCACAATGGTGTGTTCCCACATCTGGTCGGTCTCAATGATGCCCTTCTTAGCTGGTCATTCTAAGGTTCCCCGGCTGTCAGGGTGATGCCCTGCAGGGCCGCCAGGAAAGACGTGGCACAAATGAGATACCTCACTTCAATGCGGGAGCGCACAGAGACTTGGGAGATGCTGATGCTTGCTACCAAACTCAAATTTGGGGAAGTCGCCTGCCGGACACTAAGTTTTGCTCGCGCTGAAAGGCCATCGGCTGGGATTCTCTACTTCACCCCGGGCTTTTCAGGTCTAGCTGCGCGGTGGTCCCGTCCATGTTTATGGTCGCCCCGAGACTCAGGACGAACTTGGCGATGTGCGGCGACAAGCCGTTCTTGTCCTTGCCAGCTGTTGGCACCACGACATGTCTTGAACGGCTCTATAGGAGTGAGTGGATGGAAAGTCTTGGTATCTCTATAATGACACAAGTCGCAGTGGCCGTACGGTGGAAACGCAAGGAGAACCATCACAGTGTGCAGAGCCAGCAGCATGAGGTGGGATACCTGCCTTCTGGCTAACTGAGAAGCTCTGAATATACAGCTTCAGGAAGCCACCGACACAAGACAGCTATCTCTCCAGCAACTGACCTGCCTTCTATACATGATGATGCTACTACAGTGAACATGTCCGTGGCTGTGGCTCCCCGCATGCGAATTCTAGAGTATTTGCCTATGCCCTTTCTCGCACCGGGGGACAATGGCAACGGAGATGCTCAGAGGCAGCGCGGCCGCAGAGGACGAGCTGCCCAGGGCGGTAAGCAACTGCCTCGAAAGAGTGCCCGACCGAATCTTGGAGCGGCCTGTTCTAGTTTAGGACCCTACTTGGAGAATTCAGGTACGTGATAGCCCCATATAGGCGGATGCACTAGCAGCGGCGGTGGTAGTGGCAGTGGTAGTGGTAGTGGTCGCCACCGCCCAGGAATAGTAGGTACGCTATATCGATTGCAGCAGTGAACGCCGATGACGTCTTGGCTGCTTCCCACCCTGCGCCCTGCAGCCATGTGACGGCAAGCAGTTTATGAAGAAGCGGATGGGGTTGCGGCCTGAGTGGCGACCAGATCGATTTGAGATTCGCACCAGGTGGCATCAGTTTGTCACACGAGATTGTCTTACTCTGGTGGAGACGAGTACAAACACAAATAGTCACATTGCGTAGATACATGCTGCTGTTCCTACTACTGGCGCTCAGCTAGTACAACTACTCATACCTACTGCGGCTACTTCTGCTACCACTGCTAACCCGGCCCGGACAGTCTTACGACGACGACTGCTACTGCTGCTCAGCTACTCACTGTGTCAGCATACTTATACTTATACTCGCTTCAATTAGTTATCGGTGTTGGCTTTTGTCAAGCCTTGATTGTTCACGATGCGTTCAATTCCATAGAATGACACTGTGCGAGCTTCTAGCAGATGTATTCTTGTCATCATCAACGTCGACTGGCTGTGCTTCTGAATCATTGACCAGTGCCAAAGTGCTGACTTCACATGCATACGCGTAGGAATCCCCGGGCCAAAGCCTTTATTACTTTATTCCGCAAACGGAGCTGGACAGGCTTGAGCAAAGCATGTCTGGTTGCCTAAGCTCGGCTGCCGGCCTGCTCCCAGCGTAAGCAAAAGCGCACAGAAGACAAACATGTGAACACCTGCGCGGTCTTTCCGCTTTTTCCAGCGGGCTACAACTTCACAGGTTTAGCCCAGCTAGATTTGGAATCTGCGAGCACGTAGAGAAAGTGAGCTTGAAAGGAAAAGCCTGGTTTAGTGACGTGTTTACGACTGCTACGAAAAAATCAAAAAATCACAAGAGCTTCAATTGCCGACGCAATGGACGGAAGCCGCACGGGCATCAGTTCCACTAGAGACAAGGTCGCCCGGCGTAGGAAGGTGATAACATCAGGTGAATAGCAGTCTGATCTTCTGAGTAGCACAGAACATAGCACATGCACAAAAGCGATCTGCAGAAGCCATGCCTGCAACACACAGGACGGCCGCCACGAGCCTCAGTTCACTCCGGCCCGAGAGTTGACACGCAGTTTCCCGTCAGAGAGACGGCTGCTGGCACGATTTCTACCGTCGCCTTTATCAGGGGGCGGTGAAAGCAAAGAGATCAACCACACTCGCCCCCCAGGGGGCATGTTTTGAAAGGATGCAATCAATCGCCGTCGCCTAGTGGCCTGATGAAGGGTTGAGTTTCAGAAGAGTTTGGCGGAGAGGGGGGTGGAGGGTGGGGCGGGTCGCGTACATACAATACATGGCAGAAACTACGCTATCTGCATGGCTGTGTACATGCATATCATGTGTATTTATATATTGCTATTTGTATGCATATACATATAAAAATACTACATCTTACAGATGTATCCAACAAACAGATATGTACATACATACATTCATACATGTGTGAGCAACTATCAAAATCATTGGTCGCTTAGGGGCACCGGCAGGCATACATACATACCATACATACCTACCTACCTACCTACCTACCTACCTACCTACATACATACCTACATGCCTACATACCTACGTACCTACATACGTACATACATAC